ACATCAGATACTCCGATCCACGTAGCCCAACGTGTGCGGTATTGTGTGACAAAGGAACGAAGCGCAACACAAACGTATAAACTGCCCAAGCAATTCAACACGACGTTCAATTCTCGTATTTGCTTATCTCTACTGGTGCCCTCTAGTCTTCGACCCAACGGGCTTGCTACGGGTGCGAATTCTAGAGAGTGTGGTCTGGCATTGTACCTTACGCAGATAATTGCCTAATACTTGACCATACCAAGTATGTGAGATATCCATTGCATTACTGCCATGCATATCTTATGTAAAGCCTCCAGGTCCCTACAGATGCGATACCTGAATACCATGCCAACAACTTTTCTACTATATGGTATTGATATTGATAACTCAGTACGGAGCACTTAACGTTTATATAACATCCCGAACCTATAACGTCTTCGCTTGAATGACAATAGTGACGAACTTGTGAGCTTCAAGTGGTTGCCCCTATGTTAATCTCTTCAAGCCCAGGGTAGATGCACGGGCCGCGCGCCTCTTTTAGAACAGACCTCGCAAGTACCCCTGATTCGAGTGGAGGCAGTCCAGTGGGTGCTACCTATTGCTGCCCTGTAACATTTCACAATGCCCGGAGGGCTCTGAAATGGGCATTCCATGCCACCAATGGTATGTTGCATTGGCTGTGAGGAACCCGTGCCACTGGGCGTCAGGAAGCGTTTGGTAAGAGTTGCACCAACCAATAAGAGGCCTTGACCCCTGGGCGGGAAGACCAGCCTGCCAGCCTCTTGTGGAGGGAGGAAGGAAGGGGCCCACTGTACCTGCAGTTACTGGATTTTGTATGGATCGTCGCTGGCTGCTGGACTGGCGTCTCACTTCTGGTCTCAACTCCGCCACTGCCAGAATCGCAACAAATCACAACTTGGGATCAGCAATTGCCAAATCACAGACGGATAGCACGCCCTAGAAGTGCACCGAGCCATCGTCCTAATACCCCGTTAAGTACTAGCAAGATTGCTCATGGCTCGTGTGGTGCGGTGCGGCGTACTCAGTGGTTGCTTGCAGGACCACGAGCCTCAGACCCCTGCTCATTTGTGTCCGTCAACTCAAATCCATGACATTTTTACCTGTCTCTGAGACTCCGCCTTGAACAAGGTCACCCCAGTCACGGCTCTCCACTACGAGCTCGTGTCATACGTCTCGTCCCCCAGCGCTCGATTTGCTCTCTTCTCTCTCATTTCTCCTGGATCATCTGCTTTGCTTTGCTTTTGTCTGCTCTTTTTCCCGCGCTTGTCTCTGCCACACCCATTCCAGGCCTCGCAACACCGTCTGGTACGATCACGTCGAGGTTCACTGCCAATCGTCGGACTCCCTCCTTTTACCTATAGCGCCAAATTGCACGCTTGATTTGCATTCCCGTCGTTTGGCTAGAGAGCGATATTGAACAAGCGTGCGACAGACATCTACCCTCCCGAACCGAACACCTCATCTGTCGCCCTCCAATACAACTGTCACTTCGACTTTTGAAGTAGATCGCAGCGATTTCCTCCACGTCTGCGTCTTCTTTTGTCAATCTCGTACCTGTGGTGTTGAGAACTCAGCCACCTTTCCACTCCTTTCGACAGCAACACTTTCTTGCTGCATCCGGCCAGCTCTCCCCAGGCATCGGGTTCATCAGATTGTCGCCACATCCGTTAGCTTCAACTCTGTCTGCTTGCGAATAACTCGATTCATTCCTTACCCGTGACGACTTCTCTTTCAGCGACGTGTGCATTCTCTTGGCCTTCCAAGAATTGAACTTCCTTTCCGACAGCCTTGACTACTGCTCGCTTCTGACTTGGCCTTTGATTTGCGACGCGAACGCCAACTGACCAACTTTCGAACCCGTCATGCCATCGAAATCATATTAATTTGTTCTCAAGATTGTGATTGACTGGGAATCTTTTTCGCGATGAGTTTACCTGAGCCGCCGTCCTCACTGGACAATGGTTGCTCTGTTGTTCACGACAACACCCTTTATGTTTTTACCCCAACTGCTTTCTTATCGCTACCACTTGAGGAGGGTGCAGAATGGAAGAAGTTGAAGATGGGAGAACAAGTTACCGGAGGAGCCTGTGTGGGAACTGATGCAGCGCTGTTCGTCATCGGAGGTAGTGGTGGTCAAGCTGACTACAATGGTCTGCAAAAATACGTTTTCGCCGACAAGAAGTGGGAGACACTGCCTATTGATGACACAGCCTTCCGAAATCTACAACACCACGGTGCTGCCTATATCAAGAATACCGACCAGATAGTCGTCTCTGGCGGCAGCCAGGACGGCAGAGAAACGCCTTCGGATACCTCACGATACTTCACCGCCTCAGGACCATATATCCTCCAGAGCGCAGCGGGATCTGCCGCGTCTGTCAATCCCATTCTTTTGGCCTGGTCCGACGCCGAAGTCTGCCTGCTTGGTGGTAGTGACTGGAACACGCAAGTTTTACTCTTCAACGCCGCAACAAGTTGGAGAACAACAGGCATCACACTGTCCACGCCCGTCGCGGCTTCCAGCAAAGCCATGATTGTTCAGGGAGATGATGGTTCCAAGAGTCTTTATGTTTTCGATCTCTCAGCCAGTCCCAACAAAGTTCATCGCTATGTTGTTTGGGGTGACAACAACGCACCTGGCCAAAATGCTGTGGATCAAAACGTGAAGCGTGACCTGTCCCTGAATGATTGGCCTGAATATAACTCGACACTAGCTCCTACCTCAGCACGCTCCGATTACTCGATGGCCCAGGACTCGAATGGCAGAGTTGTGTTTGTCGGTGGCAACAAAGACGAGCCTCTCGCCTTCTTTGACATGAAGGAGAACTCCTGGCTTGATGCCTCTAGCATCGTAGGTGACGAGTCACAGAAGATTCTCTCTGCGGAATCTACCACCGGAACCAAAACCAGAACCAGCACTACCAAGACATCATCGACTGAATCATCCACAAAAACCAAGTCTGTCAGCAGCGATCTGTCATCGACATCAGTGACGTCGACTACGGCAACAGCTACCGACGATTCATTCTCATCGGCGACCATCTCTGATTCTAGCTCTGCTACCAGCAGTGACATTGCGCCGGTTGGCGGTGCCAGTAGTGATGACAAATCTGGTCTTAGTTCTAATGCCATATTGGGTATCACACTGGGCACGATCTTGGGCTTCATCGCTGTGCTCATCGTCATTCTGTTGCTCTTGCGCCGGCGTAAGAAGACCCGCCAACCATCGCCTGAGAACACGCAGCCCCGGCACGACTTCCCCTCTGATGAGAAGGATCCCATGGGGCTTGGCGGTGGCCCAGTGTCACCCTTCCGCGGTCACCACTCCAACATGTCACAAGAATCATTCTCATCAATGGCGATTTTAATGGGCCGTGCTGGCAAGAACAAGCCTGGTATGTCTCGCAAGTTGAGCAACGGCACCAACCATAGTTCCGTCAGCACTGAACACAAACAACTCAAATCTACCATTGGCAAACCAATCCTGCAGGAAATGCAACATCCTGTATTACAAGGGCAAGACACTCGCGGAGTGGCTTTTGATCCAACTGTTGCCGAGCCTCGACCTCGGAATGGACCCCTCGAAACACAGGACGGTTTGCGAAGGAGCTCAGGCTGGAACCGATACTGGTCAGGCGGTAGTGCTCTTCAGATCCTAGGATTCGGTTCTTCTAAGAGAAACACCGTCGGCTCTGATAGTGACTCACACTACTCAGATGCGATCCCGCATCGAAACCCCCGCGTTACGCAAGATTCAGCAACTGTGCCCCCTCTAAACTTTGAATTTCGTCCCGAGATGAACCGAGTCAATTCTGGAAGCCCTGTCGTCGCCGAATACAATAAGAACATCCCTTTCAGAGATGGAGTAGCAGGTAAAATCGAGCGCCCTATCTCAAAAGCATCCTCCGGCTACTCCAGCGGCATCCCCGAAAGCGTCAACGAGACATGGGACCCTGATCATAAGGACAAACCCTGGGGTACAGACCGAGCGACTAGCAGCATTTACAACCCAAGCTTTTACTTCGGTGCACCTTTGTCTCCACGGGTCCCACCGCCCCAGACACCCCCATCTGGAGTAAGCACGCAGCCTCAGCTCGCAATGGCCTCGCAGTCATCAGATATGAGCTGGTTGAACCTCGGTGACCGCTCTCGTCAGTAGAGCAGCCGCAGTTTTTATGAACTGATGACGTCTTTAAGCTCTGCATGCACATTGTGAGCTACTAAGATACCCCTATCGTGCTTGGCACACGTACCCCTTATAAGCGAATAGTCGTTTCCAGGTTAGACCTATCGCTTTGAGCACACATAACGCTCTACCACTCTCATTCACTATCTACATCTCGGTGCATGTACATATCGGCACACGCACTTGGTCACACTCCCTACTCCTCGCAGACCTAGTGTCTTTCCGAGAGAACCTATTTTCTTTTCTTCTTTCTGATAAAGTATCGCATGAACCGGCATCGGCGTGTGTATCAGCCGGCTTAATCTTGCTCGTATTCATTTGTGTCTTTTTCTTGGCGCCGCTTTCATCCTGTACATTCTAGACGCGGACCCGGGATTGATCGTTATTTCCCGTCCTTTTTTGTTTCGATCGTTGTCGTTATTGTTGTTTCTAATGATACCACCATCTCCTGACGTATGTAATTGGCTAGTGTAGCAAGAAAAGGGGACCTGGAGGGGGATGATTCAGATGATGGAGATATTGGATGGGGCCAAAAGAGATGCTGGGTTGAGTTGAGGTTTGATGATGAGAAGGGGACGTGACTGCTGGCCGAGGTTGAGCGGCGGCGGTCAGTTTTGTTAGCTCTTGAGTCATATCTGGATGTGAAGGGAAGCTGGAGGAAGCCAGAGCTGTAAAGCCGAAGTTCCTCGAAATCAAAACATTTGCACAACCTTGTCCATTCTGAACCTTTATACATGTGACTTGTGTGTTGTTTCAGATACGGCTTGGCTGAAGTATGAACTGGCCATCTAGTTACAATGTTGAATCTTGTTCAACGGCGAGCTGTGGTGAGGCTAGCTAGAGCAAGGGCGCTGTTGTGTGATTTAATTCCCCATTTATTCTCACGGTCATGGAGATTGTGTGTCATCAGCACCCTCGTCATGTCCGAGACCTGACTGATAGCAAATCCATAGTCAGATATTGAACTTGCCGACCAAATGAAATGAATCTCTGCACACCATTACCAGCATCAGAGTTTGCACAAGCGACGGGCCGAGCCTTATCTTGTATTATCATGACCACGTGCTTCATCAGGCAAACGTAGCTTGTTAGTGTATCCTGCATGATGTAACTCGATTCAGAACATGGCTTGGTGCTTCCTTAGATACGAAACGTAGCTCACGCTTATTCTTATTCTGGAAGTGCTGTCCCCTGGGAAGCAAGCTCATGGCACGAAAGTTGGTCACGAATCATTCCTAGGCGATCATTCAGCTACCTCTCGAACGAGATCCCAACTGCCATTGCGCACAGGGACACACCTACGAAGTGCGCAATTGTAGAGTTTTCTGCAGCTTGAAGCGGTACGACGCCTTGGGACATGTCTCCCTGTATTGTTGAGCCTCACCCCCAGGTTCACGTGGGGACATGTTAATAAGCGAGGAGCTCGGTGAGTGTTTCTGGTAACTTGCCTCACGGTGGGCAGGGGAATAAGAATGTTTGGCGAGTATCACGACATTATGACAAGTGGAATCAAGGGTCCCATGAAGTTGAAAGGTGAATAGATCTAGATTCAAGGAGTTTTGCTTATCATGAATGTATGAACGGAAGGTGTAAATTTGCTGTGTTAGACACAGTTGATGAAATGGGTGAGCAACACCCTTTGTTATTAGTTCTCATACCATGCAGTTAGTATAGTAACGGAATGAAAAACATAACAATAATTTCTTTTCTGGCCTTTTCCTACAAAAGTGTGAAACGCTAGATACTGCTGGTGCCGAGTCGCACCAGTCACCATACCCAGTTTGGACGAGCCTGAACATCACAGGAACATGAGAAACCTCCAGAGGCAGTCGCCTGTAGTAACCGTCTTGGTTGTCATTAAGTTCTCAACCAGTGGGCCCCAGAACCAAGCGAAGGATAATGGCGTTTTCAGGGTCTTGTTGGCATGGATCCTGGTTAGTGACGATCAAGCGGCTCATTGAGTTTGAGAGATTTTCTCAGCCGCTTAGCTGGTGGCTGTGTTTCTATGAGATGAGGGTTCAACATGACTGTAAATAGAGACTGGACGATTATGAGCCAAAAACGAGGAAGGGCATCACGTTTGAACCTAGCCTCGGATGCTAATAATCCTTCTGCAATGCAATGCTAGGCACAGATGATAAAGCTTTCTGCAGATTTCTCCGTACCTATCACCCCTGAGGCAAGACAATCTGAGCCTCAGGCGTTGAACCAAAGTGTCAAGAATAACCAATCTAAGCTACTCTAAATCTATAGGTATTAAATTATACTAGAATCTACTCAAGTCTTTTGGTATTTAGGATAGAGGTCCTAAGTTTTCTTGCCTCTCCTTGCTATCCCACGGAAGATGTTGCCGAGGGTGAAGGGTGACCCTGGTCGTCGGAGGAGGTTAGTCAGATTGGGAGGGAATCATCCGGAGTAATGTTGAATGAGGAATACGAATAAATGAATATGAGTGGATGAAGTTGGATGAAGAGGCTCAACAAGCTTCTTTGCACTACCTAGGTAGGTGAATAATATTGAAGAAGCCAAGGTCCACTGCAACGCGAATGAGAGCCATACAACTCCTAAGAGAATAGGTCCGTACGGAGTACAATGCGAGGAAATATATCGTAGGACTAGGTAAGTTATGTTCATTCTGAAGAGTGATGATCAAGTAACGCCTGAAGCTACTTTATCTACCATTAGTATAAAGAAGTTGGCTTGATTACAAAATTCGGTCGAGATGCATTCTACCTAGGTACAAAGGTACATGTTCTGTCCACTGATCCCGTCTGTCTGTCAGATGGAAGAGAGAGCCATGAACACATCGGTCGCCCAAACAGAAGCTCGAGCATGTCCAGAAACTCGGGGAAGGATGGATCTGACATGGTCCCCATGCAGCACGGCCAAATTCCAATTCTGGTAGGCTATGAGAGTCATAGCCCAGCGATGAGTTTTACAGGGCCCATTACGGAGGAGAAAGCCTACCAGGCTAACCCAGGCGGATATCCACCACTCAGAATTGTCCGCGGGTAGGGTACGTTTCCCCCCAACGAACTGAGGAAACGATGAAGTCGGGTTGCGTTGATAATATCGCTGGGTCAGCAGGCAAGTAATATAAAAGTCCACAACTCCTAGTAAAACTAAGATAAGTGTCAGTAGGCCAGATCTTTCTTCGTGTATTCAAGATACTACACATCCATCCTTGGATATGTATCAAGAAACTTCTTGCTGCTAGGTTAAATAAGTACCGAAGTATCCCGATATTCTTCCTTGGAGCCTCTAGTCTAGTGTGAGAAACCACTGCAGAAGAGTCTCAGAACAAGGGACATCCCACGCTGGCGGCAGCCACAGATGTCGCAGAGTCCAGTCACATGAACAAGAGCATGTAAAACTGGAAGAGATCGAACGGAGATCAAGAGGGAAAGTATCATGTGAGAGAAGAAAGACATTAAGAAATGCAACTTCAACTCGGCTCTGGTCCATTATCCTCGAGCTCAATAGTTAGCAGTATGAATCTCAGACAGAAAACCCACCCCGTGGGCCATGCTCGTGAAGGTTCTTCTGGCGTCTGGCCCTGGATGACGCCAAAGAATGAACTGCTACACCAACCAGATACGGGCATTGACCCCTGCCATGGAATGACCCTCCCACCATCTCCCTTGACGATATCCTGTAATTGGGGATCCCCAGCTGACAATGTCCTGCAGATGGAGGGGACATCCCACTCCCCAAGTACTGGTACTTATTGGATCCCTGCTCTTTAACAAGTCGCTCAATGGATTTGCCTGGCGGAATTGACAACTGCTTCTTTCATGGTGACAGCCCGACAAGAAAGTGAAGGAAAAAAAGCGACAGCCTCCAGTTCGTTCACATTAAGCACAGGGCAAGAGAATGGTGACCGGCTATTCTCCACCAAAACCTAACCTATGGACCGTACGAGAACCCCACTCTCACCTACCTACGAGTAATAAACTCCACTCTGTCGACAAAAAGTCTCTCTACCTACCTACATTCAGCGGTAGAAAAGAAAGGCAACTAACTGCCCGTCGCCCGCCCACTTTGGATGAACCTACCTTAGTACTAATGGTACAGTAGTTGTGCTATGGTTACCACTATACGACCAACCACCTTTGGTTTGGACTCTTCGATTTAATTGACCAAGACTCGACTCGAATCAGTCCGAGTTTAATATTGGCTTGTCTCGTCTTTCGTCCGTGTCCAGGTTCCTCTCCCACAGTTCATTGGCATCTACACCTACATATCCGCACATCGTTTCTACAACAGTCGACGCTCTCCCTGGTCCTCTCATCACCTTCTGCTTTCGCTCAGGTCAAATCGTCATCGTGGTCTCTGCTTCCAATTTCGGCCCCATCACAGCTCTTTTGCGGCATCGCAAGCTTTTCTCCGTCTCTGCGCCATTGCCAAATATTACCATTGCATGTATCTTCGCCGATCAGCTCGCTACTCACCGACCAAGTCCGACTGGAACGCTTCTTGATACTGTATCTCGACTGTTTCTATTCTGTAAATATCTCTCGTCACCTCCGCTTGGTTTCAATTTTTCTCCGCTTTTGGTGCTGCTTCAACGACTAGTTCCATCTTGCGCAGCCTTGACTGGCGCAATTCACGACTCGCCCGGCTGATCAGATAAAACTCACTTGTAATTGCCTCTGTTTGACCAACACCCGCCGCAACCCGGCCATGATGAGTTCGACGGCATGGAACGGGCAGGACCAGACAATGTCCTCGACTGGCGAGGACGACTTTCATCAATTCCTCGACATGAGCAGCATGGGAACTTTGGGCGATGGCATGCACTTCGACTTCCAATCTTTCCAAGATGGCTCTGCTCAGGGTCTGATGAACCAGGCGCGAGATGCCCCCGACACAATAATGACCGACTCCGATAATTCAGGCCTGATGTCTACACCAAACACGATGCCCATGTCAACCTCTACGGTTCAATCAACCATCCCCGCGCACATGATGACGCCCGCAAGCGATCCGATCTCTAATATCGACGCCCAGATTCAATATCTCCAACAACAAAAGTTCCAGCAGCAGCAGCGCCAGATGCAAGAGCAGCAGGTGGCTTTCTTCCATAATCACAACCACTCAGTGCCCCCTACACCACAAAGTCTCGAGATGCCCAACAGTGGACAGTTCTATTCACAGGCTGAGCAGATTCCGACATCAGGTGCCTACGACAGAAGTTATCACCAGCGCATGAAGGAGCAAGATGTAAGACTCCAGTCCATCACCAACGCCCGCCTCTCCATGTCATGTTGCTAACTTGGTTCTAGATGGCATTCACACCTCTCGTTTCCCCCGCAGTTACCCCTTTGGACCCCAACTTCTCCATGGACAGTGGCTATACTATTCCCAGCGCCTATTTTAGTCCTCTGACTTCACCAGCTCTCCACGCGCAGAACGACCCCTCTACAGTCTACGATCCCCGCCTTACCAACACCAACAATTCACCAATCGATGTAGATCTCGACAGATCGGCCGCTCCCGTTACCTCCGTTTTGGACTTGCCCAAGAAGGCTGCAAGAAAAAAGACCGCAACCAAGACACGGGCAAAGGCTAGCATTCGAAGTTCTCCCATTGTCAAGCCTCAGCGCCGGAAAACAGGTCCCAGTCCGGCCATCGTCTCACATGTACTCAGTGAAGTTGAAGAGAACAATGGCGCTTTTCTTCCTATGCCTGCGACCTCTACCGAGACCTCGGCAGAGGAGAATTCATCGGTATCCCCCGAGGCCCTCTCGGAGATGCCCCCACCGCCAATCCCTAATAGGAGATCGACCAGCAAATCGCCATATATCCAAGCGCAGTCGAGCAACCAGCAGACGCCTGTCTCCGGCCCTGTCGATTCACGTCCAGCTCCAGCTACTCCCGCATCGCTCATGAAACTCCCGGCATCCAGGGCAAGCAAGCAGGCAAATGGGCCTCAAGAACCGGTTGTGTCTGAGCATATTGAATCGCTCGAGTTGCCCGAGTCGGTCTCTGGCAAGGCCATGACCCCGGTCATATCGCGCTCTTCCGTGCAGTCTCCTTCTGTGGAACCTATGTCTCGTCGAGGCTCGAGCTTTCAGCCATTGACATCACCAGTATTCCCCAAGGCTTCGGGATCTGCATCAGCAACTGCGAGCCCCCAATTAGCTCCCGGTTCGGCAGGCCCATCCGCACGGAAAACTCCTCAGCTTGCGCCTCGGTCAAACAGGAAACGGTCGACGGGTTCAGTACATGGTTCGCCTGCACTGTTGCCTCGAATATCCCCTAGCATCAAGCCTCTTCTCCCCGGCACACCCGGTATGACACCAGCGGAGAGTGCTGCATCTCAATTGCTCATGTCGAAATCTAACTACCAGAATATCCTCGAGGGCAACAAGGTGCCAGGCGTTTCATATCCGAGCGAGCTTTCAACAAATCTCACATCAAAGCGAACGTCGCACAAAATTGCAGAGCAGGGGCGCCGTAACCGAATCAACTCGGCGTTACAGGTCATGGCTGGATTATTGCCTGGTGGAGACAAGACGAATCTTGCGGATGAAGGTGACAAGAAGGATGGGAAACAGGCGAACGCGCAAAACAGCAAGGCCAGTGTTGTCGAAAACGCCATTGTGCACATGAAGAGCCTTGAGAAAGAAAACGGCGATCTGAAGAAAGAGGTCGAGGAACTTAAAAGACGACTGGAGGGGCTGCAAGGGTCAACGGACGATAAAGAAAAAGCATGACAAAGAGGATCTGGGTGCATCTCGTTCACCACATGATATACTCAGGCGCTGAGCAGGCGGGAACTTCCCTGGTACATAATTGGATAGGTCTGGCACATGATGGGATCAACTCTCTCCGTAATATCCTCGAGGGCGGCAGCGATTTTTGTTTCGGCGTTTTGCTTGGGGTGTTGAACGGGGCGGGATACTAGACGGGTGCCTCTGGGCCTAGATGGGCTTGTTGTAGAGTGTAATTGTTGAAATCGCTAGAAGAAGCGATGGATAACCTAGCAAACGAGGGATTGACGGCCTCAGAAGGGTAGTGGAGCATGGAAATACCAGAACTAAATAACAAAGGACAAGTTAACAAGCACATTGATGCGAGACATGGGTCCAAGCTCCGAGATGTCGACGAGAGACATAAATTAGAGTATGAGTGTGGTGAAATAGTTTGGCTAGGGGTCTAGAGCATTGTTTATTGTTGTGTGATATGGATGACTGTTATTGTTGATGATCAAGAACGTCAGTATCTAGCTGCTCCATAACCTCCACCACAAGTTTCAAGCTCTCCATGAAGCCGTTGACAGCGACTCGGAGCATTCGATTGGTTGTGGCCCTGTACTGAACCTCGAGAAGCTGGACATCTGCATCACCACCAGACGGAGAGCCATGCGTTGACGTCGGCGCTGGGACAACGGTGAGCTGTCGCCTAACGAGTGGGGAGAGTTCAGGGTCCACCTGAATGGCCTTGAGGGCGGTTGTGGCCAGTCGAGCGGTGGGAAAGGGGACGTTGAGGACACTGAGAACAAGGGCAGGGGTCAGCGAAGAGAACGAGAATAACAACAACAACAACAACAACAGCCAGACTTGGCCTTAGTAGCCTCAGACTTGGGGTCGTCATCGTCACAGGACAGGGGGTGGGTGGCTTGCATGGAGCAGGGAAATTCGGGATCGGGAATGGCGGTCATGGTTGTGATTGTGGCGGAAGTGGTCACTGCTTTGGTAATGACGCTCTAATCTCTCTTGCTTGTTGTGATCGATCTATTCGTTTCCCGATGCTTAAATATTCTGGTCGTGCGGTAGTTTTATAATGACGATACTAGCGTTGACCTTTGCCGTGACAAGGAATGGGGATCTAGGCCGGAAATCGCAAGGAGGAACGTCAACCCCTGACAAGATTTACGGTTTGATTCGATAGTGAAGAGCGTCTCTTTTGAGATAGTTTGAGTTGCTTGTGAATATGTGTGAGAGGATGTATGTGTATTTGAATGTGAGTGAGGTGAGTTTGTGTGTGACTCTGACGTTGAAAAAGATTGGAGGTTTCTGATAGATGCGTGGGGATGAGATTGATTGGTCGTGGGGGAATCCATTAAAGGAACCGAGCGGTAAATTCTAGACCATTGACGCTGTGGAATTATGACACAGCCACAGAAAAAGCCACAGCTGGGGATGGTTCAATCATAACAATAACTGTCGATAGAAGAATCTAATCACTTGGATACCCTTGGAATCTGTTGCATTTGTTCCCTTTAGGAAATAAGGCCTGCAGTTTTAATTGCAGATACTGCTGGTGTAACATACACTACCTTAGTTCGTCTAATTCCCCAAGATGAGAGCGTTTATGCTGTGAGCTATAGCTGTTTACTCCGTAGTTTGATATCATAACAAGTCTATCAAAACAGAACTGATTACCTATTTGGGGTAAAGTACTTGGGGTATTGAATAGAGGCAATTGCGGAAACAAAGATACCTAAGGATATGGCCTTCACTAATTACATTATCTACCTACCTATGTTAGAACGGGTTTTATTGCCGTGAATAGAAGTCGCGTGAGGAACAACTAGAAGTGCTGGCTGTTTAATACCTACCAAGATCAACGTCGCATGGGACTTGCAGCTGGGGCTGGGGCTGGGCTGGACTGGAGCCGGAGCGGAATGGTATGTTGTGGTCCAGGGCCTAGGCCAAGTTAAAAAAGGTCACTGTTGCTATGGCAATGGCACCAAGTAGCAACCTGTTTCGGGCAGGGGCCAAAAAACAACGACAATCGCCCATACAAAAGAATCGTTAGCCCAGCGTCCAATCTTACATCAACATCGTCAACCAAGAACTTCAATTCTTTTCTCTTCCCCAGCTTTGCCTTCTGGCTTTTGGTGATTTCTCCTGTCCGCGCTGGAGCTGGACTTGAAGACCCCCCCCCCCCTTCTTTAACCTCACCTGTTAACGCCAGCCTACCTCACCTAAACTACCTTGTCTTTTTAGCTCACTCAGCGCTGCAGCTTCCCGTTGAGCTGTCAAAGGCAATTCATCCCCGGTCACCGCCTGCTCTGGTCATTTGTCGCTCGTCGCATTGAGACATCGCCGCTGCTTCAATTCATTGACTGTGTGTATCTTGCTGTAATTCGATATCTTCCGACTGCATTCGAAAGCTCCCTGCCCTTTGTTTTCTTTTTTGGGTCAGCAACAACCTCTGGACGGTCCCACCCCCAGCCTCCCTGAAGCCTGAAGCCGAAGCGCAAGTCAATATCAACAACATCCAACAATAACAACATGGCTCCTTCTACCAGGCAATCGCAAAACATGGCGCAGATAGTCGAGTACATACCAGGTAAATCTTTACTCTCTACAACACATCATTCATGCAATGGCTGCTTGGCTTTCCAGGGCCATGTCGCATTGTTATCCTTTTCAGTTTTCGCCGCTGCTCAAGGCTCAACCTTGCTTCGTCGACATCAATGTTCACAACATGCTTCTGCCAACATCGTGGCTAAACTATATTTCAGACCGGCTTTACCTTGCCTCCTACGTCCATCCCCCTACGCCAGACACGCCGTTTCCTTACCCCGAGGAGCCTCAGCCAACTTCTCCCAAGAAGCGAAGCCAACGAGCTGCTGCCGGTGCGACCCCGCTTGCCGCCAAGTCGAACCGACCGCAGCCATGCTATTTCACTGTCGACGATACTCTTCTGTACAACGCTTTCCACCATGATTTTGGCCCTCTGCACATCGGCCATCTCTACCGATTCGCCATCCAATTCCATGACATCCTGGGCGCAAAGCAAAACAAGGACCGCCCCATTGTTTTCTGGAGCGCTGCTGACCCTAGAAGTGAGCCTTCCGTGTACACCTGTACGAAGCGCAAAGAAACTAACACCAAGCCCAGGTCGCGCGAACGCCGCTTGTATGCTCGCATGCTACATGGTCCTCATACAGAACTGGCCTCCCCATCTGGCCCTTGCCCCGATTGCGCAGGTCGATCCTCCTCTGATGCCATTCCGAGACGCGGGTTACAGTCAAGCCGACTACGGCATCAGCGTTCAAGATGTTGTCTATGGTGTGTGGAAGGCCAAGGAGGAAAAATGCTGCGATCTAGACAACTTCGATCTTGACGAATACGAGCGTTTCGAGAGAGTCGAACACGGTGATTTCAACTGGATCACTCCCCACTTCCTGGCATTTGCCTCTCCCCAGCATGCGCCGGTCCAGAAAATCACAGAGGGTTCCGATCTGTACCCATTGCTTCCACGGACACTAGCCGCCGTGGATGCCCATCCCAAGTTGCCAAAGCCCTTCAAGAATGTGCTGAAGCATTTTTCCGAGAAGAACATTGGCCTGGTGGTCCGACTTAACTCTCAACTCTACTCCCCCTCGTACTTTGAGGCACTGGGTATTCAACACCTGGACATGATCTTTGACGATGGCACATGCCCCTCGCTCTCAACTGTCCGCAAATTCATCAGACTCGCTCACGAGACCATCACTGTCCGTAAGCAGGGAATTGCTGTTCATTGCAAGGCTGGCCTCGGCCGCACAGGTTGTTTGATTGGTGCCTATCTCATTTACCGACATGGTTTCACTGCCAATGAAGTTATCTCGTTCATGCGCTTCATGCGACCCGGCATGGTTGTTGGCCCTCAGCAGCATTGGCTTCATTTGAACCAGGGCACATTCCGCGAATGGTGGGTTGAGGAGAGAATTGAGCGCAGACTCAGGAGGGAGATGGCTGCTGCAAACCCTATCCCCAGCACCCCCATTCGTGCCATGCAAAAGACAACACTTCGGAACGGCCAGGCTTCGACACCCCCCAACCGAAGCCCCTCAAACCGTACTCCGCTGAGTGAAGTTGACCACGACCGCAATAATATTGGGGTCCAGGAAGACTATTTACCAGCTCCTACACCCGGCCAACCGCGAAAGACTGCCAGGGATCGCCATCACCCTTACCAGCGCTCAACTTCCAACGGACTCGCTGTTGAAGAGCAGCGCACCGTTGAGCAAGAAGCTGAGTACATTGCGACGCACAGCCAGGCTCACGGCGGAGAGTCTGATGAGGAGTTGCATTTGCGCATGCGACGTCATCGTAAGGCGACCTCCCAATCACCGGCTCGTAGTGAGAAGACACGCTCGGTTAGCCAGACGACAGCTATCTACACCATTGACAATGATGCTTCACACGACGCTGAGAACATTGGCTCTGTGCGAACGAAGCACGTCGAACGAGTTGCTAGTACCCCTGGCGTTCTGACAAAGGTTCGCGGCAGCAAGCGACAGGGGGAGTCTCCCCTTCGGGCAAAGGAGTCTGCTGGCATTCGAAAGACCAGCGGCAGAGTAGGCAGCGCCAATCATGGAGCGTCGGTGACGGCAGCTTCGACGGCCCGTAAAGTTTCTGGAGCTTAGAAAGCACCAGCACAGCGAGTCCAGCCGCTTCAGCGTTCTAACGCGAAGCGTAACAGACACTTGTACGATTCCACGTCACGATCATGATTCACGTACGTCACGGGCAATGTTAACGTCTCTCATGCATTGGCGTTTCTGGCTCAGAAGAGAATGACGAGCGGTTTATGTTTGAATGTTAATGATTCTTCTCTCATGCATGATTGCTTACCCGAGAAGTGTTTGGCTTTCAGTTAATGTCATTTGAAACTTGCAAGATAATTCAGTTTCTGCAACATACAAGGATCATTGCGGCTACGACTTCGATGGAGATTGTCGTGGTCAAGGAGAGGGCAACTAGAGAGACGTGAATAATGCATACTATCTCGGATAAGGGAAAGACTGAAGGCATAGCGGAGTTCAAATTTGCGACGGCGCACAGGCAGGCAAGGTTGAAATTATTATTGTGGACTTATTCGGTTTGGCATTGCACTGGGTTTTGTTGTTTCTTGATGATAGTCAAAGAGGGAGGGGGCAATGAAGAAGAGAAGGCAGCGGATTTTTTTTTTTTACGACGGCTATATAAGTTTCCAAGAGCTGAAATACATACATCTCTTACACTGTTCATTCTTTGCGGATTTCTGTCTGGCGACTGACAGTCTTAGGCTTATCATATTGATGATCTATCTATGTTGCTTCGTATGCAGTTACCATCAGGTCCGGATGGCTTCGAGAGCTGTGACAACATCTTCTATCACCTTGCCAGCCTCAGCACTTGTCATCTCTTCACTCACGGCCAAACACTTGTCCACGACATCGCGATATCGACTACCGACCTTGCTACCCAGACCGGGAACGAGAACCGCACGCAGGACCTTGTCGCGCCATCGACCCGTGGAGTAGTGTGGTTTATGGTATGTTTGAAGAACCTTCCAGAGACCTATTTCGAGGAGCACCAAACCCAGACTATAGATATCCATGGGCTTGCAGTGAGGAAAGCCTCGCAAGGAAGCTGGGTGTCGGTGTAGCGTAAGGATAGAAGGATTACGGGGCGCGACAGAGAGCGCAGTGTCAAGGTCTGGTCTTGAAGCATCGAAACCCGTCAGATAAGGGCACTGTATATCTGGTACAAGTGCCCCAGCAGCAGTTGACGAGTGGGCTGATGCCGAAAAGGCTGAAGGGAAGAAGAGGATGTTTGAGCTGCAAAGGCTTTTATGAAGCCAGTCAAGTGAGTGCAGAGACCACAAGGCGACAGCGAGCGTATGTGCCAAGCGGACTCGATCATCGAGGTTAGGAGTCTTGAGATCCGAGCTGGCGATGAGTTCATGGAGCGTTGAGAAGGACGGCGAGGGCGCTTTGTATACGAGCCCGTATCTGCACCGTGAAGTATCGTCAACGTAGCCTACGCAGTCGATGCTATGGAGGTCAGGGTGGCAGTCGGAAGCGGAGTGCATCATGCGAGCGAGATCGTCGAGACGACGCACATGAGCTACACGCTCATCTACATCATCGCGATCATAGTCAACCCACTCAATCACAACATCCCCGGCGCTCCCATGCCGCCCTGTACTTCTCCCACCACCACCAGCATCATCACTGAGATCAAGTGCAGCACGGGGAACCTTGAGAGCGAACGTCGGCTTGAATGAGGCTTGGGGCTTGGCGTCTAGGTTGATTCGGAGCTTCTTGAGGTTGGCCGAAGTGGTGAGCTTGGGGTAGACGCCGTCTGAGGCAATTTCAAGGAGGGTAAGCTGGGTCACATCACGCTGCGCAGACTCGAGCAGCTGGTTCGTCCAAGCCCGTTGAAACGATGGGAGATGGGAGGTTGGAAAAAGGCGTTCGAGGCCATCGTTAAAGTCTAGAGTCGAGGTTTGCTTTTAGCCTTTCTGTTGGACCTTTGGAATAGGAAGGGACATTTACCTCGCAGGTCCCTTAGCAGGTTTATGAACTTGTCTTTATCTACGAGCTATCAGTTCTGTTTTGATGGACATGACAGATGAGGACTTGTAGGACTCACCTGCTATAACCCATCTCGCTCTTAAACCCATCTCCTTGCCCCAGTTCCTTTCACTTGTTACTCTTGAAACACCATTCAAGTCACGACTCTCATCATCTTTTGATCTCTTCCTTGAAGGTGAAGGCGACTTTCTTGGCTTCGATCCAGTGACTTCCAAGCTGGCTCTCCCCTCGTCAACTAGCCCGTATCTGTTCTTCAGTTTCTTGAAGTCTGTGACTGCGCTATGCAACTCCTCGAGGATTTGAAGTGCCAAACTCCTCAGCTGGGGATTCCTTGTGCTCTCAAGATGAGCTTCAAGTCTTCCCTCGGCAACACCCCAGTCCCGGCCCCAGACGACCAGGCGCATCTCCTCAATGCGTACTTTACATAGAAGTCTCTGGCTATCTGTGTCAAGGTTGGCTGCTGCGGTGAAGAGGCTGTAGGCTCTGACGCAGCCGTCGAAGAGTTGGCCGAGGACGCCTACTACGGCGAGGGCAGTTCCCACGGCTTCAGCCATTGCATTAGAGTGTGGAGTCAAGGTAAGCAGTGACGGGATAAGACCTGTGAGACATTAAAGGCTTTGACATGAGGTGATCAATTATATGCATATGCTGATTATGATATGTAATTTGTGAGCTCCGGGCAAATGCCAGCTAGTTAGAGCTGAATTAGATACTAGGATTAGGGATTGGCGCTTAATCAGCCCTAGAATGTAGGTAAGGCAGTCTAAGGTCATCAGAGGCCTATCGCGATTCGAGCGGCAAACGCCCAATCATCACAGTTGCAATATGCTGCTTGGTAGTTGCACACTTGCAACTGAACCTATCAACAAAAGAATTATTCTGATACAATATATACACAAACTGCAAAATCTATTTTATACATGCCAAGCCACATTGCTTCTTTTCATCGACCGACCCTTTATTGCAACATCTGCTGCATGGCATTCAGTCTGTAGCTTTCCCTCCGCTCCATCAGTTGAGAATGCCGCCCACTGTCAACAATCTGTCCATTTTCAACGATGAAAATGATGTCGGCTTTCTGCACAGTATGCAGTCGATGAGTGATAGCCAGTACTGTCGTGCCCCTTGATGCTCTCTCGAGTCCCTCTTGAAGAGCTGCTTCGCTGGCGGCGTCAAGCGCGCTGGTACTCTCATCTAGGAGCAGTAGCCGGGGACGACGAACAAGAGCACGGGCGATTGCAAGGCGCTGTCTTTGACCGCCTGATAGACGAGAAGCTGAGGGCCCGCATTCAGTATCGTAGCCATCGGGAAGGGCCTCAATAACATCATGGATATTCGCCAAACGGCAAGCTTCCTCAATTTCATCATCCGTGGCTTCATGGCCCGGGGGTGCTCCCAAGCCGACATTGAAACGCACACTACCGTCAAAGAGGGCAGGATCTTGAGGGACTAGAGCAATTGTATCTCGAAATGACGCTGGAAGCTTACTGATGTCATAATCATCGATGAGGACGCTGCCAGACGTGGGCTCGTATAAACGCTGGACCAGGTTCATGATGGTCGATTTGCCCGCCCCTGAAGGACCAACAAGACCACAAAACTGGTTAGGCGGGAGTGCGAAGGAGACATTGTCGAGTATCGTGGCATCAGGCCGGCTAGGATAAGCAAAGGAAACGCCCTTGAACGTCACCTTTGCACCTCCACGACGATGGTTATCCTCTGGGTTGAGCGACTTTTCTCCGCCGGATGCTTCAATATCCCCCTTAGTTTTAGAGGGATCCTGTCCAGGTTTTCCTGTGTGTGTGCTACTTCCCATGTTGACGACCGTCATGACGCGAGACAGGGCCAGACGAGCACGAGAGAATTCCGGAGCAAGTGAGAACATGCCACTCCAAAGCTGGGCACTCGTCAACATGGCGACCAATATAATAAGGAAGTCCTTCTGAGTATACTCCCCCTTCATGATGAGCTGCGAGCCCCACCAATACGCGAGAGCATTGATAAAGGTGCCGGTTGTGTATGAGATGGCCAGCCAGATATTAGTTGTGACTGAGGCTCGCACAACCTGCTCCCTCGGAGGCTTCAATAATCGGGCGAAACCTTCCATGTACTCATTCTCAAGGGATAGGACGGCCACTGTGCGGATGGACTGAATAGCCTCGGTTGCAAGTGCGGTGGCAGTAGAGAAGGCCTCGCGGTGTCGCTCTTCATAACGCGCCAGCATGCGCAGCTGCATGAAGCCTGAGCCAAGCAATATTGGAAGCGTCACAAGGCACACCAAGGCAATCTTCCAAGCAAAGATATGGGAGATAATGACCGCGATGAGAACATTGATGAGGATGGCGAACACGGTGCCGAAAGTTGAACCACTAAAGGCACCCACAGACATGCTGTCTTTGGTAATGATGCCAAGGAGGCTGGTCGGCGTTCGTCCTTCAGACTGATGCCAGTGTATGCCCTGCTCCAGCAAGGATCGGAACGACAGAACCCGCAGGTTGTAGAGAAGCCTTTCAGCGACAATGCCGAAGCCCAGCCAAGCAAGAAAGTTGGCTATAAGCTCCACGCCCGCGAGCATGAAGAACAGGCCTGCAAACATGTTGCCCATGGATCTTATGTGGTCGAGCGTATTTGCACAAGGGTTGAGCGCTCCCACAGTGAAGCCAAATATGATACCGGAACCAGAAAAGGTAGCCCCAACGAAGACAGCAGCGATCATGGCGAGGGTGAACCAGCCCAGGGATGGTCGAATCAACCATACAAGACCCCTGACGACAGAGCTGAATGGCTTCACATTGTCCAGCTCATGATCATCTGATGCTATTTCTTCTTTCTTCTTGGTATCCTCCTTTTCACGGCCCAATACCTGGGAATCAAGTGACTGCTTCGCCTCAAAAATTTCGGTCTTTTCGTTCAGCTGCGTGTCGTTTCGGAGAGTTGAAGCCCCAATCGAATCGCCGTCCACAGATCCTGTGTCACTCTTATTGCCGACTGTCTGCAGCTTTGCCATGTGCGCAAATTCGCCATCCTCTTTGGCCATAAGATCGTGATAAGTTCCTTGCTCAGCGACTCGGCCAGCCTTCATGACGACAATATTGTCCGCATTGCGTATAGTGGATAAACGATGCGCAATCGAGATGATGGTTCTCTTCTCAGCGGCAGCCCTCTCGACAGCGAGCTGGATTCTCTTCTCACTGGCAGAATCGAGAGCTGCCGTTGCTTCGTCCAGGACAAGGATTTCAGGATCACGGATCAAAGCCCGAGCAAGCGCAATGCGCTGTCTCTGACCACCACTCACAAGCGAACCCTTGGGGCCAGCAGTCGTACCGTAGCCTAATTCAAGACGTTCAATGAAGCTGGCCGCATCAGCTTGCTCAGCGGCGTGACGGACCAAATTGGCAATTTCGACGAACTCGGGTCCCAGAGATGCAGCTGAATCTAGTGCGTCCTTTCCCTTGGCAGCCAGCTTCGCAAGCTCGGGGCCCTTGAGCAATGACTTGAGGTGTTTGTGGGACTCCTTTGGAGAGTTCACAAGACCTAGTGCGATGTTTTCGAGGATGGACCTATCGAGAAGCGAGGGTTCTTGCTGAACGAAGCTAATAAAACTTCGGAGAGACTTGACGTTGAGTTCTCGCAAGTCGTGTCCTTCCAGCTCGACCGTGCCCTCGGTGGGATCATGCAGGCGTGCTATGAGTGATGCGATAGTACTTTTGCCGCTCCCCGAAAGCCCAACAATCGCCGTATATTTTCCAGCAGGGAAGTCAAGGGTGACGTTGTCAAGGACAGGCTGGCCTCGCCGAGAGGCATACTCGAATGACACATTGCGGAATGTGATGGTCTTTGCCGCACTTGGAGGTAATACAACACCCTCCAATGAAGTGCCGTCGATGGATGAAGGAGCATCAATGTCTTCCTTGAGCCGCTGGAATGCGCCTACGGCTGCTCCTAAAAATGGAAGAGTAGGTGCCATTCCTCCCAGCATGACGCAAGCGTCTACAAGAAGGTAGACAATCGCATAAATCTCACCAACAGTCGTGCTCCCGTCGTTTCGTGCCACAGATTCAGCGATCTTTTTACTGCCCTGCCAGAAAGCTAGGGCGTTGCCGGAGTAAGCGATGAAGTATAGCATACCGGTCTGGATAGCGGCAATGGAAGACTTGGCTATGGCGTACTTGCGAGAACGGGCCATGTGCTCTGCAAACTTCTCTTCAAGGCGGGGAGCGGCACCGAAGGCTTGAACGACAGCAACGTGCGACAGAGCTTCGGAAGCGATGGAAGAGGCTGCAGCGGATGCTTCCGTCTGTTTGACCACAAACTTGCCTAGGTATCTTCCTCCTAGTATTCCGGAAAGAAGAAAGGCTGGGAGCATACAAATGAGGATACCGGCGAGTCTTGGCTGTTTTGTGAAGGCAATAATAAAGACAGTGACGAAGAAGCTCATGGTTGTGATGATGTTGCCAACCTTCTCTGACGTACCGGCCTGCACAGCTGTGATATCGCCTTGGAGTCGGCTTGAGACTTGCCCGGATGATCCACGAGTGTCGAAGAATTCTGGAGGCTGGCGCAGAAGTGCGGACACATAGCGAGTCCGTAAACGCTGAGCAAGACGCTGGCTGATGATGTTCCAACAGGTCAGATGACCATAGATCAGGACAAGTGCAACAGCGCCGATCCAGGCAGTCTTTATAACCTTGTCGTTGATAGCATTCTCATAGTCAAGAGGATCAGATGCTGCATCAGTCGCTCCCGAACCGCTACCATCTGCGGCGCAAGTGGCTCCGTTGAAGTTGTCGATGAGTTGGCCGAATAGTACGCCCATAAGAGGGAAGGGAACACCAGCTCCAACGGCGCAGAGAGTAGCCAACGCGATGAGGAAGTAATCAACCCAGGTGGGGCCCGCTGCGAACAAGAGCTCAAGGTAAATGAAACAGGTTTTGAGAGACTGAGAAGCGTATCAGTATCGTTTGCTTACAGCATTCATCTGGGGTCTGGAGGATATGGTGTTAACCTACCGTGAGAAAGCTTTTCTTCGGCTTCTCTGTGCCCGACTGATCAAGTGTGACGGACATGGCTGTCGCTGTCGCTGTCGCTGTCGCTATCGATCGAGGGGCAAAGCGAAGGTTTCTCAGAAGAGCATATCCAGTGACTGACTGCCAGTTGAGTAACGAGGCTATCACCAACAGAGCCCGTCGAATTCGGCGATGCCTTGGTAACCTACGAAAAGGCTCTCACGGCGTTCAAAGGAGGTACAATACTTGACAGAAGAGAACGGAGCAATCAACGCAATCAACGCAACACGCCAGCAGTCATTCAGAAAGCCGATTCAGGAGCCCTGAGCCAAGAAGACCCTGTTACGCAAGCATCATTTCCATGCATTCGTTGATGGATGCAATGGCCCTGCATTGCACTCTGCGCTTGGACACAATCCATAATGACACGGCCTTGATGGGTTTCTCAGAAGAGGTAGGATCGTCTGAGGGAGACGAGAGTAAGGACTTGGACCAATATTTTGCTCAGGATCCGCAGCTCAGGGAACCCTTGTCCTAGATGGTGGAGT